TACTACGGGCCCTGGTGCCAACCTCTGCTTTATATGAATTTTTCAAGTTTCCTGATCTAATTCATATCTCTAAATTTCCATCGATTTTTCTGAAACAACCTTCACTTTTTATAGGGGACAGGAACTCGAACAACTATCACTTTCTAGCTTAACAGTCTCTTGACTATCGAAGGTATGCTTTGAATAATTAACATTGTATCAATGAGTACACACTGTCACAGAAAGAGTTGAGCAAGAGTAGAAAATCTGGACTAGCCAGTGATGGATGCATGTTTACTGACAAGATCGTACTATATCTCCTTTCACTAAAGAGAATAATTACAAATTAAAGGGCAATCATTACTCGTTTCTCAAGCTTTCGAACCCAATATAAACTTCAAGAAAAAACCTTCGTGGTCTGAAAAAATAATTACCAGAATCTGATATTGTAGCTGGGTAAAATTGCTCGTTGCTTCACAGAGAAGCTAGGAAAAAAGAAACAGTCTATGTCGATTCCTCGTGTTCTTAGCTATCGAAGTATACAAAAATTTGGGTGCACAAAGCTTTCCCAGTCCGAAAAAGTCTTGCTCCGGCTACTCATAGAAAGCCGGAGCAGGGTGGTGCAAGTTCGTATTGAATATCTCCACCTCAATTTTGAAAAACCACGAGTTTTTTCACCCAACAACTTATATACCGTTAGAAAGCTCACGAAACAAGGATTCGACGTAGACCGTCTCTTTTTCTCTAGCTCCCCTCTACTCAGAGATACATGGCATTGTGGCTAAAAACATGTGTGTTTTTGCCAAGAAATTCCTGCGTGAAGAATGAATGAAGGTGCCTGATTTTCTAACAGTATCACAGAGCAAGACCTTGCCAGTAAACGAAGATCGTCTCTTTTTTTTCTAGCTCTCCTCTTCCTCTCAGAAATGGAGCGCAAAGTGATTGCATAAAATCAGTTGATGCTGAAGCTAGATAGATTTCTTAGTGTATTCACAGGAGAGCTGAAAAAAAAAGAGACGATCTACGTCGATTCTATATGTCTCAAGCTTTCGAATGGTATGTCGATGATGAAAGACAAAGCTTTCCCAAGTCAAAAAAGTCTCTGTTAGATGACCTTGGTTGCAAAGTGCCGAATTTCGAGCATGCCGAATATTGGGCCATTCAGAATGGTTATTTTCGAACACGATTAGTTTTGGAGGTGAGCTAGTCACCTTTTTTGCATTGGATACAAAGCATTGCGTCTTATTTCGCCAATGGTACTTTGAGAATTTGGAATGGTACTTTTGAGAAGTACCATTCCAAATAAAAAATTTTGGAATTAGAAGCCAGCAAATTTATTTGTCCCGTTTCGCTTTCAGTAGCTCAGAATAGATAAAACGAACTAGCTCAAATCACTTTTGTAAAAATTACGACCACCATTAAAACAAAGTTAAGGCTTAAAAAACGAGCATCTCGCTTGGATAGCCTAATATTTGGAACCCCCACATTTTAATACTTTATCCACGAGGGTAATTTGACATGCTGGGAGTATCTTATTCATATTGTTTGATAGGATCTCATGCTATTACGATAGGTAGTCGATAATGCTGGTGGGGAAGAGGGGCAAGGGGGGGGTCTATTGAGACACTCACCGGGAAAGGGATAACATCCGGTGGTCGCGTGCCACACCTCTTGCTCGACCATGGCCATGGCGTGTAAGGGTTATAATGTGCTTACGGTAAAAATTGACAAACTTTAGATTGCTGCTAATTCTATTGTTCCTTTTTCGGAAAAGTTACGACATGCGAGATCTAAAATGATACAAATTTTCCATCAAAGAGCCTCTGCGAAGTCAAGACAATTATTACCACAGCAACAAATGAATACATGTCGTGTAGCATGTCTAATTAAAAAATTATGAGGTTCCGATCTTTATTTATTGACGAAAGTTTGGTCCTTGAGAGAAACAGACAGCATTTAACAAAGGCGTAAGATTATTTGTTTCTGACACCCAGTTTTTCTCGTCTTCCAAGTAGTAAAAACATAATAAAAACACATCAACTCATTGTGCCCCTTCTACCCTTTCATTTGCCTTCTTCATTACTCGGAAACTGATTATATTACAACATGCAGTATGAAATATTTATATTATTCACGACGCACATACATATTGAGTTGTCCCATAATTATTTACCGTCTTACTTCGACGGTCGTCTTTTTGTATCTATCCTTCATCTGATGCGGCTTGAGTAATCCTTCGATAGGGCAAAGCAAGTTCTACAAGATGGCTACCAAGAGTCCGCGTAAATCATAATTCACGTAAACTTTTGAGTTGTCTGATAGCAGTCAAAAACGAAATTTTCTGTCAAAAATCGCATCTCAACCCCAAAGTATCTAAAAAATTCCAAATTTATTATGGCATATTCTTGACACATCGCACATTCGGGTGCATACTTTTCGAATTTCTGCCATGGCTAAAAATAAAAAAAATGAAGGTAAAATCGCAAACTCCGCCTTTAGAAGTTCTGAGCTCCTCCTACACACGTGATCATATAGCTCATACATACAGAAGTACGATCATGTATTTGAAAATTTTGAAGGTGCCTCAGTTCTCGAGAAATGCTGATGTTTATGGTAAAAACGGTAAATAATTATGGGACACCCTAATAGATGACAAGGTAACGACATTCAATTCTGGACGACAAGTTTTATATGAGGACGAAGGGTAGAAATTTGGCTTCCACGCGGCAAAATTTTGACCTTAAAAAAGTAATGAAATTTCAAAAGGCTTAAAAAGTTTCTTAGGTTTCTTAGCAAACATTTCGCATAGTAAACTCACAAATGGCTTTTGATCAGATGACGAGTACAAACCGGCATCGGTTGCTTTGAAAGATTCGATGATAAGGGTGCCATCCTTTTCTACATGAGCTTTTGTTGCTGGAGGGACTGGTTTGTTGGCCTATACAATAGGAACATCATTTCCAAGAGCAGAAATGATGTTTGAAAGTGACCAGGAAAATCTTACCGCATTCACGAATTGTGCGCATCTTGGACCTTTTTCAGTGGGTCCGCAGTATTTGATAAACTCTTCTACATCACCCTTTCTCACGCGCTTCCATGTCACAACATCGGAACCCAGTTCGAGTTTGACAGTTTCTCCAATCTGCTTTTTTAACAATCGATGCCAAATTTACAGACTAGAACTAACCTTAGCCTGTTGAATCATAACGGATCCGTGGATGGAAGAGATAGTTATGAGAAAGATGACAGCTTTTGTCCACATGCCCTAAAATGAGAATCTATGATTTGTTCGCGCTTACGTTTTTTTGCCTTATAAATAATTTTCGGTTATCATATTGAGATAGGAGTAATTATATCAGAAATATCAAAGTGCACACATACAACTACGAACACGAATATTTTTCAATTTTCTTTAAGACATGAATTCAAAAGACGGGCATCTTACGCACAATATCTTTGAGACATGAATTCAAAAGAGGGGCATCTGACGCGCAATAAAATGCGTGTTATTATTATTGTGATAATGTCATGCTGTGTTCTCACACTGAAAGCTTCTTTGGTGATAACATAATTTGGATAACACAAGGGAACAGCATATGCTGAAAGTCTGCGAATTCGAATGCTACAGTTTCAAAAATCTAAGACTGCAGTACCAAGTGGGAAGATGTTATAACAACTAGCGATGTTTTCCAGGAAAATGATGATATCTACAGTGAGAGCATGTATAGGGTGAAAAAGTACTGTCCCTTAGTTTGCCTCCCAGCAAGGGAACGTTCCCAACTTAAGGTGGCGAATTGGAATGAACCGCATATCAATGGATGCGTCTTGATGAGCTGATTCCAGATCTGCCCTTTGTCGGAGCCGTATTTGCAAAAAGTTATAAACGTTTGAAAATGTGCAGTAACTGCGGTTTCATTGCATAATGTCCTTCAAAATCCAACTCTAGGGTGTATGACTAGCATGATATTGAGTGTACTGATTTCAAGAAATGCTCACATTCAAAAGAAACACAAGTAAGTGTTTTTGAACAACTAATTCTAGAGCTATGGCGCTGTTTTGTCACCAGATTTGTACTTTTCATTGCTCAAAGCTTTACTAACAAACTTCAGTTGCTTTTTAGTTGTTCAAAAACACTTATTTGTGTTTTTTTTGCTGAATGTGAGCATTCCTTAAAATAAGTACACTCAGTATCATGCTAGTCATACACTCCCAAGTTGGATTATGAAGCACATTATGCATTGAAACCCCAGTGACTTCACGTTTTCAAAGGCTTATAATTTTTTGCAGAGAACGGCTTCGCAGATATGAAAGGTAGATTTGGAATCAGCTCATCAAAACGCATTTAATGATATGCGGTTCATACCAATCCGCCGTCTTAAGTTGGGATCGTTCCCTTGTAAGAAATCTCACACATGGAGAAAATCTATAGTTTTGATTCCCACGTAGGCGAGGCCTTTTAGATTCGGCTAAAATACGTAATTGGAAGGGTTTACGCTTAGTTAAACGAGTGATAACAGCGAGAAGCATCATCGTGCGCCGCAGCATTTGGGCGCAATTTTGAACCCTAACCATACCATCAAAAGTGATATCAGTTTCAAATCAAGGTAGTATGTAGAGCATAATCTCCTCTTAAAAATTCTATACTTATTATGGATCAGTGATTGGAATTTTTAACCGAAAAAACCAAAAAAATCATATCCCAAGCGATTTCCAAAAACTCATGAAAGGAAGCTATTCAGAGCTGCTCTTGCTCAATGAATTGGAACCAAATTATGGTTCAAAATTTCAGATTCAAACAAAAGAAATAGCGAAAAGAGCATTGTCTGTACTGTCTACTCAAAATTTTCTTTGTCTACATCATAATTTTGAGTCAATAAACGATTATACTTGGTTTCTGTGCCACGTTTTCTGATCGCACCCTGTTGTGCCGCAGAATCTACTTCGTTGGAAGATTTTCCAACTTTTTCCCCTACTGCAACTGCGGTCTGGCTATTTCCAGCATATTTCGAAGACCCACGATATTCCTTAAGCAATAGAAAATTTCTCAAATCCACGTTGGAAACAAGAGAATTTTCCAAAAAACTTCACACTTTTTCCTCCTATGTAAAGGAAGTAGCAAGATTTGATACGGGATGCGCTGCGAAGAAGGTTCGGCCGCTGGGTAAAATTGCAGGATTTTGAAGCCAGCTTTCGTAAAATGCTAAAATACATACAGATCTTAAAATTTGTGTCAGATTTACCAGAAACACTTAAGAATTACGCCTATTTTCTGCCTTTATTTTAAGAGACAGCGCTTTTTCCGCACCCTGACAAGAGGCTGAAAAGCATTGACAAGCCTAAAAACTCTGTATTCTTTTCGACACTGTCTTTCTATTATCAACGAAAAGAACACGGTTGTCCTACATAATTTATTAAGACTGCTCAAAATGCCCACTTTTGGCTCCTACGCAGCCTTCATTCGGGTTGTCACTGAAGTGACGGCGCGCCGCAGGTACTCTTGTTCTAGATTGTTCCATGACCCTGTGAGTTCTCTGCAAACATTCACGGTGTTGGTATTCTTGCTCCTCAACTTTTCTTATAAGTAACTCTAAACAGCAAAATCAAGTGGACTGAGATCGAAACTGTTGGGGGACCTTTTTTAATCTTTTTTTTTTCTTCGTCAGATATCCTGGCACATACATACATACATACATTTATTCATCCCCAGCGGTTATATACAATTGATACCGCGATGATTCCGTTTATGGCTTGAGTTGTGCGACTTCGACTCTTCGATCTTCGATGACAAGAATCCACTTGTTCGTGCCAACCAGCGCATTCTCGTGACATTGCGATCTTATATCTTATCTTATTATCCTGGCACATTGGCATGTAGAAAGGCAAATAGTGCTTTTCGCTGCGTGCGCAGGAGCCCAGTTCTGCTGGAACATCCCTTTTGCTTTTTTCGCCTCCATGGAAACACAGCAGTTGCCAGCACTTCTTCCTAATAGGTCTTTGCATTATCTTCAATTCCGTTTAATAAAAGTCAAGGCGTCTTCACAGCGGCGCTTATCCCTGCCCCAACCACATGCCTTTATAAAAAGCGTTTGTTCAACAATTTTCCATTTTCTGGTGTTCTTCAGAATTGGGCTGAGCAGTTGCCGTGCATTTTGACTGTTAAGGGCTGTTTCGATAGCAAAATTTTTCTCATTCGAAAATATCATGTCTTTCGTACGGCACGCGTCGAAGGTGCATAGCATTTTCTTGCAATTTCTTAGCTTCTTTGGGAACGGCCATAGGTTGTCGGTTGTCGGTGTTGTCGGGGTTGTCGGGGTCAGAGGCAGTTTAGAGAGCGCGCGAAACGTGGAGGCTATCATAGGTCCTACAACGACCGGCAACCTCGCAACCCCGACAACACCGACAACACCGACAACCTATGGCCGTTCCCTTTAGCTTAGCGTCATCTGACAACTGTCTTTGGAACAAACGATAACTGCGAAGACCAAAGAGTTTCTGACAACGAGTGTTGATAGAGCGAGGACGGCCTGTTGGTTTCTTCACATTGACATGTCCCACTGAGTTCCGCTGCTTGATTCTCTGTACCGTTCGGAGTGGGGCTTTCAAGCGCGCCAAGATTACCGAAGCCTTCTGTATATCGGTTGTCAGTCGAGATACATGATGACCACAGTGCCTCATGAGCCCACAAAAGAAAATGATTGTTGCATCAAAAGAAAGCTAAGAAATACCCTCACTTTGATTACAGTAAAACAGGCAAGATTTACTTCATTTGACAGCGGAAACTTGACGGCACAAAACACGCCAGTACTTTATAGCCACGTTGTACATCATATAAGGGTCGTCAATATTAGGAGGACAACAAAATGTAAACTTCTTTACCCAAATTCCTCGCAAGAACATTTGCTGAAGTCTGTAAAACATGTTCAACAGATGTTCACTTATACGATCATAAAGTGCGGTTCATAATTATACGAACACCTAAAATTTTGTAAGTTTTCGGACTTTTTGGGAGAAACTTAAAAAGCTGTTGGTACCACGCGATAGAATACAGCCGAAAACGGTATATGATCCGTAAGAATGGAAATTGATGTCAATCTTAGGGGTGTTTTTGAGTCTAATGCGAATTTTTAGCGGTTCATAAATATACGAACACCTCAAACAAAGGTCCATTTTTCATTCAAGATCGCAATCATTTGAGTCCAAATTTTTTGTAGACTTACAGTAACAAAGTCTGACATATCTGCTACAGACTGAACCCAGTGCAGTTCAAAAAGAGGACCGTTACTTTTTTCGGAAGGCTCTAAATGCTTTTGGAGTGATTGCGCTCCAAAAACATTCGTTCTTCTGTGCTTTACACGCTCTAGTTAGCTTCTACCAAAGCTACGAGATAAAATAAGCTCTTTCGATAGGTATTTTGTTTGACGCTTGGAAAATCTCTGCATTTTCGTGCCGTTTTTTCAATTAAGTTCCAACCTCACCACAGAGTTAGCCGATTTCGAGCCTCAAAACTCAGCTTCTCTCTTGCGCAAACATTTGATATGAAGCAGCTGCATTGTTTGTATGATGATGTTTCTGTGCCAAAGTTTTTGGGTTTTTTGTAGAACTGATCTTGAGGCTGTGGAGCTACAAACCAAATAAGGGCGTGTTTGCAACAGTAAAAACAGTGTTTTTGGTGAAATGACGTCTGCGTGGCCAAAACAAACGCTCAACGCTACTAATTTTTTCTAGCCAAATATGCAGTCTTGTGAACTTCTACATACTATATGTTTACTTCATTGTATGGCTTCAAAAGCTGAGTTTTGAGGCTCGAAATCGTGCTAACTTTGTGGTAAGGTTGGAACTTGGTTGAAATCGGTACGAAAATGCAAGGATTTCCCGAGCGCCAAACAAAGTATCTATCGAAAGAGCTTATTTTATCTCATAGCTTTGGTAGAAGCTAATTAGAGCGCGTAAACCATAGAAGAACGGATGTTTTTGGCACGCAATCACTCCAAAAGCATTTAGAGCCTTCCGAAAAAAGTAATGATCCTCTTTTTGAACTGCACTGGGTTCAGTGTGTAGCAGATATGTCAAACTTTGTTACTGTAACTCTACAAAAAATTTGGACTCAAATGATTGCAATCTTGAATGAAAAATGGACCTTTGTTTGAGGTGTTCGTATAATTATGAACCGCTAAAAATTCGCATTAGGCGCAAAAACACTCCTAAGATTGACATAAATTCTCATTCCTATGGATCATATACCGTTTTCGGCTGTGTTTTATCGCGTGGTACCAACGGCTTTTTAAGTTTCTCTCAAAAAGTCCAAAAACTTACAAAATTTTAAGTGTTCGTATAATTATGAACCGCACTTTATTCTTACTTAGAGGTGTGCGGAAACAATTTTCACTACAATTTCATTGCTGCTATTCTGTTGTCTATTCAATCGTGTACGCTAGACCTTCGTAATCAGTAGTAAAGAGGAAGAAAGTAACGAAATTTTTATACAGGGTGTGTGCGCCCTCCGAAATTCTGAGATGCTTCCCAGTCTTTGGGGACCCGCAACTCCCGAAAAATCAGAAAAACATTTTTATAAGACTTATTCTCCCTTGATCCACCACTGATTGTTGACAATGTTTGTAAGAGCTTGGACAGTTTTTGTGAGAACAGTTTCAAATCAAGCTTCTGTACAGAACGTATTTTCATAATATATGGTTTTAAACCATTTATCAACACAGAGCTTATAAGCAGTATTAACATCTTGAACACATTTTGAGCTTCAGCGTGTTTGCGAATGCATGCGCTATCGCTTATCGCCATAAACATAGTGCAATCGTTTCTGCACATTTTCACGCAGCGTATCTCTCCACCTTGCTGGATAATCCGTCATCGAAAACTTCCCCATGCCTTCCACTTCTTTGAGCCATGTATGACCCCAAGAACCAAGGTTGACGTCACGATAATGCCTGAAAATGCTAGCTTGCTCTTCTGGTGTCATTCGTCTAGCAGGAAGAAGTAGAACATGTAACAAAATTTGAGTCAAAATTTTTTTTCGAAAAGTTTACCTAACCACTCCAACTTCTGGCTCCAATTGATAGAGAGTATAATTGCCATAGAACTTGTCAGGGAAGTGCACATTCATTATTAGCACCTTAAATCAGTAACTCTTATTTTTATCAGTTTGCTAAGTGATACTTTCTGTCAGAAGACTACAGAAATAAATTTAGATTTTATTCTTACTTGTTCGCTTCGCTTTAAACTAATCTAACGGATTCACACTTTATCAATGTATATAACCGTTACCTTAACTCAATTTATCAATCAAATAAAGTTACTGCCCCAAAAAAGTTTACAATCACTTGGCAAACTTTCCTGCTCTTTTCCCAAAGCTTTGCTAATGTTGAAAAACTAAAACGCTGGTTTCAACTTGTTGACATTATGCTCGCTTCCTGGATTTCTTAGACTTAGTGTTGTGATTGTGAATGATCATTTGTTCCTCATAGTGATCTGCCTTGCGTAGTTCGATCGGAACCTCAGAGTGTGCGAGAACTGAACGCTATAAAAGGCGCTTACTCTTCGCCTCAAACGTTTACAGTCGAGTAAGTTTTCTGCTTAATACAGTGTGCTTGCACTGAAGGTGAATGCGGTGAAATTTGCGCGTGAACAAATAGCTGCGCCTGTGCGCCGGCCAATTGCGCGCGCAAAAGTCTGGCATTAATGGCGTGGCCACTTGTTCACGCGCAAACTCTACCGCATTTCACCTTCAGTGCAAGCACACCATATTAAGCGGAAAATCTACTCGACTGTAATTGTTCACTCATTCGCCCCGGTTTCGGGTTATTTCTTCTACCAGTGCGTCACCTCCGCTTCGCGGAGGTTCTGCTAGGCAGGCGCTATAGTCCTCGAGGAGTATAGCATGGCGACGATCGATATGCATCAAATACGCGTAAAACCGGCGATTTTTGTCGCCTATATTGGCGATCGCCAGTCGCCAATGTTGGCGACTGCACGTTTGATACGTATCGATTAGCGACTGGCGATCGCCCGTCGTAGCGACTGGCGATCGCCAATACCGGCGACGGCGACTACACGTTTGATACGTATCGATTAGCGACTGGCGATCGCCAATCGCCAAACAAGTTACGACACGTCAAATCGATACGTATCAAACGTGTAGCGCCGATATTGACGATCGCCAGTCGTAGCGACTGGCGATCGCCCGTCGCCATGCTATTACTCTTCAAGGAGTATAGCGCCTGCCCTATCTGTATGCCTTTCTCGTGCTCGCATAATGATGGCTTTGTAACTCACCGCGCAATGCTGAACGTTGGAAATGCTTTGTAAACAACTTTTTCATTTTTGAAGCATCTCCATATAAGATCGGTATTTTCGAGAAATAAGACTTTTTTGCAAAGGAACAAATCCGAATTTGAACAGATTTTTGAATTTATTCTAGTTTTATAATAGCCATAAGGATAATAGTCATTTTGGGCTACATTTCCATGCAAAAATCTTCTCAGTATTTAGGTAAAAACTTGTCAAATGGACTATCTGCGCAACCATCAATTTTTGGCGCTGTTTTCGCAGGAAAGCAAGATTTTTGAGCAGTTTTTAAGCTAGAATTTATGAAACGCAGATTTACTTGTCAGACCAAATCATAAATTTGCAAGAAGTTGAATCAGCAACCTAGTTTTGCGTGCCAGAAGCCGCGTGGAACCGTTTGACGCGCAAATTTTGGAGGACCCGCTTATCAAACCAGCTCGCCCTTGTGGGTGGTGTACCTACACTGGTAGGGTATGTTATGCACAATTGTAGCTTGATATAGGGGCCTGCATGATCGCGAGAGTCGGACGTGCGCACGGCCATTGCGCCGCGCACGTCTGATGCCCGTCTCACAACTCAGCTAAGTGCCAGACTTACCCTGTTCAACAGGTTCATTGGGTTCACCCCTTTGCTGTTAGTCAGTGCATTGATTTCAGCATTAGCGAATGAGTGAACCGGAGTTCGGTTACCGGACGAGCCGGTTGAACAGGATAAGTCTGTCACCTGTCTCAGTTACATCGGACTTGCGCGGCGCAATAGCCGTATGCACGTCTGACTCTCGCGATCATGCAAGCTCTTGTAGCTTGGTAGCTTTTTCTATGAATTACAGACAGACAAGCGCACACACACGCACAAACAGAAAGACGTTTGGCTCTTTATGCTCTTTATTATAAGTCATGATTCTAAATTAATACCCCACTCTTCTCTCTTCTATGTTTCAAGGATCAAAGACTCGAAGGGTCAAGGCGAGGACACAATACTTATAAATACTTTTTTATTGCTGTAATTTTACGTAGAATTTGCAGCGCATAAACTGTTACAGTTTCACAATTCAAAATTTCAAAGGTTGTAATCCGAAATCGAATTTTCATGGTTTCATAAATTGAAGTGGTCTAATTAGGGAACACATCGCAATAGCTATACCAGGGGGGGGGGAGATGGCAAGTGGCAAAAGGGTGGCACACGACAGCCTGACGTTCCCCCCCCCCCCCTTTCCCCCTAAATTGTCTCAATAAGGCTTCTCGAAATTTACGTAACGCAAGCATAAGAAAGGGGCTCTTCAAAATAATGAGTATCATTATTGTGACTGTCATAAAACACCGTATATGAAGTTTTAGCAATTTCTTAAGTTTCCAGATGCTGTAACACCTAGCTGAAATGATATTTTTAAATAGATTAATGTCGCGAAGGCGCGTTACCTGCCCCTTTTGTCACTTAGTACAAACCTTACTTCTTCTCTGTTTGTATGAGAAATGTCACATTAAAGAGGTGGTGTCTCACCGTAATTTAGTTGTCGAGATTTTTGCATTTTGCAAGCCTTTTCGTTCCTGTCTAACTCAATACGGGTCTTACTATTACTCAAACTGCATAAAATCCACGAAAACTTCGTTCTAGGAAGCCTCGTGTAAGCAACGCGGACGAGTTGTGCCTTCTTGGTTTAGCCTTCGCCACTTTGACAGCAGCGCCATGGAAGAGAATGCCAAGTGGACGGACTTGTGGAAACGCGCAAGGCGGAAACGGGAGCGTCGGCCATCCCGGCCACGTGCCTTTGCGGGCCGCTTCGAGGGCAAATTTCATGGCGTGGAAGGGCACGGATCAATTCGGTCTTGGATGGGTGTCTATTCACTAGATCCTTTAACAGAATATGCGGAGATCAGCACTGCACCAACTTTCGTGAGACACTGCTTCTGAACAACTGTCAAACAACTAGGGCCAAAAACTTTTCTGAAACAAACGTTGACGTGCCTAAAATTTTTTTTGGAGTTGTGCCACACCCAAACATCTTTGTCACAGAGGAAGTTTCGAGTGCGTTACTTATGGCATTTAGTCTATACACAGGGTGCGTCAAAATTATTTTCGCCAAAATATTCAAAGTAGTGTCACAACAAAGGCAATGAGAAATTTGATCTGGATTTAATGCTATAGAATGTCGTAAGCGTACTCTATAAAAAGCACTATCAGTATTCCAAATCGGTCTTTATTTAGAAAAGTAAGAATTCCAAAAAGCAAAATCATTACCGAAAAAACGCAAGCTGACGCAAATTGTTAAATAGTCAAAATTTTTATATTGAATGCTGCTAAAGATTCCAAACCTCAGTGATCTTAAAGTCAAAGATTAGCTCTATTTCATAACGAAATCTTTACCTGAGAGAAGCTGTCACTATAAAGATATATGCTGGGCAAGTTTGTGAGCCTCTACCCGCGTGCAGCACGCGACAGAGTCAGAAAAATACTATGAATTTTTACAGAAAAGCAGCACAGGCAATTTTACATCTGTCAACTAGGATGCAATGTTGTAAACCCGAAACCATAACAAGCTTGACCTCTCGCGGAGCCGGTCTTGCATTCCTATGGTGCTGCGAGATACACGCGCAAATAATTGTGACGCACCCTGTATATATAAAATTGAGTGTTGGTGAATTGTTAGTTAGTTTGTCCTCTATAAAAGTTTCGTATGTAGACTAATCAGCTCAAAACTTTGCATACATATGTTTTCGACACCGTTCCACCCCGTAGGCTATTTTTCGCAGCGAAATTCCCACTCCTTCTTTTGATTTATCGATTTTAAGAAAAATGAACTCTTATCATTCATTATCGAACCGCTTCCAGTTTTCGTATAAACAATAGCGGTAGAAATACTTCTCATTCTACAATGAAGGAGATGCGGTTAGAAAGTGTTTGTCCTGTGCTACAAGACAGAAGAAGGCCGAAATTCAGATAATTGAAGCTTTTAAAATGCGCACCAATCCCTTTGTCGAGCCAGTTGAACCCACGGTGTGGGCTAAGCCGGGCATGCCAGCTAGTAGCCTATACCCATAGTCTTCACAAAAGTAATTTAAGCGTGATTCTCTCCATACGTCTGACAAGGGATGTCGCTCAACTTAGTGTCGCGTTTTAAAATGAGACACATATATTCGGAATCCGCTTCGTACGATGATTCCAAATATGTTCCTAGCTGCGGCGCATTATTCTGAAAGAAGTTATGAGCTTTTTTCTGTCCAAAATCGCCATACATTTCCATATGGTAGGGCTGTCTGTAGATGGATGCCTAAAAACGGTGCTGGGGTAATAAAATTATATCAGATTGAGTCTTTTGTAATTGACGAGAGACTTTATGCAGTCATTTAGCACTTAGGTGATAATACCGTAATGCCACTAAGTCGAAGAGTATGCAAATTTTTCATGTAAAAAACAATAACTTTCTCCAGAGTAATGAACCGCAGCTAGAAACATCCTATTTGAAATCAGCGTTCGAATGTAATTCCAAATAAGCGTGTCTCATCTTGAAACGCGATACTAAGTTAAGTGACATTTCTTCTGAGTAATGATCAATGAAAGCATAAATAATAAAAAAAGATTGGGATAGACGCGATGTGTGGGTTCCTAATTCCATAGTACGGCATTGTTCAAAGTGAGATTCCTGATTTGAGGCAACAAGGAGTAGTAAGTACTTTATGCCGAAAAGCAATAATTCACCTTTGAGACAAAGTTAACCAAGTTTGAAAATGACAATTTTGGCTAAGTAGCCAGTATCTGGAACTTTAAAGATCGCTTAAACTCAATCCACGGGAGTTGATTGACGTGCTGATAACGAAAATAATACTCATT